TGTAAAAAGATTTCTCTTGAAAGAAAAAAAAAACAGGCGCGTTTTAAACTTGATATTATTTCAGTTGTTCATTGTTGAATGAGGTTTTTTTATTCCGAGGTAACGTGCATTGTTGAATGAGGGTATTATTTTCAGCTAACGTGCATTGTTGAATGAGGGTATTATTTTCAGCTAACCTGCATCGATGAATGAGGGTACTGTTTTGAGCAAACCTCCATCGGTGAATGAGGGTATTATTTTCAGCTAACGTGCATTGTTGAATGAGGGTATTATTTCGAGTTAACCTGCACTGTTGAATGAGGGTATTATTCCGAGCTAACGTGCATTGTTGAATGAGGGTATAATTTCGAGTTAACCTGCACTGTTGAATGAGGGTATTATTCCGAGCTAACGTGCATTGTTAAATGAGGGTATTATTCCGAGTTAACCTGCACTGTTGAATGAGGGTATTATTCCGAGCTAACGTGCATTGTTGAATGAGGGTATTATTTCGAGTTAACCTGCACTGTTGAATGAGGGTATTATTTTGAGCTAACGTGCATTGTTAAATGAGGGAATAATTTCGAGTTAACCTGCACTGTTGAATGAGGGTATAATTCCGAGCTAACCTGCATTGTTAAATGAGGGTATTATTTCGAGTTAACCTGCATTGTTGAATGAGGGTATTATTTTGAGCTAACGTGCATTGTTGAATGAGGGTATAATTTCGAGTTAACCTGCACTGTTGAATAAGGTTTTATTCCGAGCTAACGTGCATTGTTGAATGAGGTTTTTATTCCGAGCTAACGTGCATTGTTGAATGAGGGTATTATTTTGAGCTAACCTACATTGTTAAATGAGGGTATAATTCCGAGCTAACGTGCATTGTTAAATGAGGGTATTATTTTGAGATAACCTGCATTATTTCGAGTTAACCTGCACTGTTGAATGAGGGTATTATTTTGAGCTAACCTGCATTATTTCGAGTTAACACATACTGTATAAGTTCGCTGTGGTCAGTAAAAGACAACTAAAATCCTACAGTCACATTTTTAACTAGGATGTTATACTGAACGTAGAAAGAAGTGAACAGCATATTCACTAAACAAATGCGAGACAAAAAACATTTAAAAAAAATAAATATATCTGACCTCTGGCTGCAGAAACTGCTCTGTTGAGCGTGCGGATGTTCACTCGAATTATGCTGGAATTTAAACGAAGGTAACCATTGGATAGTTGACTGACCATAAAAATGCGCGTGTCTCTTTCTCTCACGTCACTGAAACAAATATGAGGGTCACCAAATCCGTCCACGATGACCGTGTTTTCTACTAAGTTATCGTCACCTTTAATCATTCGTTTGATTCGAACCGAACCCCGGTACACGTCGCTCCTTGTCCGGTAGAGTCTTTCTACTGTCCCGGTGAATACCATATTAGCCAGCTCCTCCCGCTCTTCTAGAGTGACCTCTCGGCAGTAGGAGCGACGGCGGCGAAGATGGACCTTTGACGGTACGCTGAGCAACACAATCGCTACGAAGAGAACGAAACGCATTTTGTGAGAGTTCCTCACGAAACGCTGCTTTGCAAGATAAATTAGTGTGTGTACTCTGCGTATTTAACAAAATATATCGGCACGTGGGCCAGAAGGTGTCTACGTTCAGTCATCTCGTGTCCGTCTGTAACAACTCCAGGACGATCTGCTGGTGCTCCATCTGTGTATCGGCCTATAACGCCCGTTGGCCATACATATACCTTCTGACGTGACTAGGGCCCGCCCTTACCCTAACCAAGTCCCCTCCTGCCAACTCTTGCACCATTATCAGGTGTGCTGATCCTGTCCAGTAATCCAGATCCAGTAACTCAAATCCACTAACTGTCCGGCCTGAACTTAAATAATATGTCCTGATGTTACTAATATATAAATAATATGTTCTGATGTTACTAATATATAAATAATATGTTCTGATGTTACTAATATGTAAATAATATGTTCTGATATTACTAATATATAAAGAATATGTCCTGATGTTACTAATATATAAATAATATGTT